TCACTGATTGTCACTCTTTGGAGGGTAAAAAAATGAGACATTTTGGGGGAAGTAAAAGTGCAATATTACACAGAGAATAAATGATACAATGTAGTGGGCATCACTTGAAAGGGTACTTTGCTATTTCCTTTCTTTTTCTGGCACCTGAATTGAATCTATTGAATTAAAGCTAATTTTGCGATTTCACATTGAGTACATTCTCCTTTGCTACCTGCAGTTAAGTGAACCTTCTGCCACACTGTCTGTGGTTTGAGATGATGCTAGGAGTTCAACAAAGTACCCCTTGGTGAGGGTGTTGAGAAGCGAGCAATCTTCACCTTGGAGGGGCGTGCATTCAGTGTGACCCATGAATGAAGACAAGACAACACTAATTAGCATTGTAATGTGTACTGTCTCTGATCCAGTAATTCTCCCTTTGGGAATGTTATATAGACATACTTGTATATATGCAAAATGAACAACTATATGCCAATTTGTTCTTCTGTAACATTCTTGCATGATAAGAAATACTTAGAAGAACAAACTCAAAATTCATCAATGAGGAGAGGTTAGATAAGTTATGATTTGTTTTTACAATGAAGTATTACGTAGCCATATAAATAATCTTAGGAACTAAAAAGTGAAAAATGGAAACATGAGTCGGAACAGTATGTATCATATACCTTTAATATAAAATAAGAGAAGATATAAACCTATATTTGTATCTTCTTGCATATGCATTATTCTGGAAGGATTCATAGAATCTGAGAATAGAGACTTCTATGTGGGAGAGAGAGGTTCTGGCAAGATGAGGGGCACAGCTGAAAGGAATGGAGCATTGTTTTTTTTTTTTTATTTTTAGCTCTAACAGTTTTCATTTTTTTTTTGAGTCATATGAATGCAGTACTTAAAAAAAAAAAAACCCTTCAGGGGGCCAGCGTTGTAGTGCAGCAGGTTAAAGCCCTGACATGAAGCGCCGGCATCCCATATGGGCACCGGTTCCAGTCCCGGCTGCTCCTCTTCCCATCCAGCTCTCTGTTATAGCTTGGGATAGAAGTAGAAGATGATGGCCCAAATCCTTGGGTGTGGGGAGCAACTCGGACTAGACTAAGTTACTGAAATTAAGACTTATTCTATGCATCTGCTCTCCCACAATATGGCGCTGGGAGAGGAGTAAACAACTTCTACACAGCTGCCTCCAGTTCGACCAATAACCTGCTCCTGATTGGAGGAGAGCAGCATACTCTGTGTGTGGGTAGCAGAGTTGGGATTGGGGGAAGAGGACTATAAAGGAGGAGAGAGACAACATGCACCAGGGAACATCTAAGGGGAACATCCGGATAACATCTGAGCAGCCCCCGAGATAGCTGGCCTGTGGTGTGCCGCTCCCCCGCGGAAGTGGGGAAAGTAGCAGGGGGAGCCGCCCTTCCACGGAGGTGGGAGGGATCGGCAGCCAACCCGGATAGGACCAGCAGCAAACCGGGGAAGGGCCGAGCAGACGAAAGAACAACGCAGGGTCTAGTGTCGTTCCTCCACGAAGAGGGGGAATGACACTTGGGCCCCTGCACCTGCGTGGGAAACCTGGAAGAGGCTCCTGGCTCCTGGCTTTGGATCGGCACAGCTCTGGCTGTTGCAGCCAACTGGGGAGTGAACCAGCAGATGGAAGACCTCTCTCTCTCTGTCTCTACCTCTCTCTGTAACTCTTTCAAATAAATAAAATAAATCTTTTAAAAAAAATTAATGTCATCACTGGCGACTGTTTCTTGAATATTTAAAAACAAAAAAAACCCCTTCAACCTATACACTTAGCTTGCAATACTTAGAGAGAAATTTGCCTTCAATTAATAGAGACATAATTTAGTGCAATCTGATAAGTTCTGACTGTGAGAAGGCTCCTTCACTCAAAGACTGAAGGGAGGAGAGTTTAGGGAAGGGACCACATGCAGATAGGTGCAGATTTATGGGAAACCACACAGGAGAGTGAGGCATCTAGGAATAAGGAAGAGCAGGTTGTCAGAACCCCAACAAGTTCACAAGGGTAAACGGGGTGGAGCCCTCACCGGTGTTGCAGGGACAGGAGCTCTGCACTACAGAGGGCAGCAGTGCCAGGAGCAACATGGCAGTGAGGGGCAGAGAGAATGCACATCCCAACGTTGCTGTCCTGCTACCCTTCATCCTGCCCTGTGCCAAACAGCAACCGGAAAGCAAGGAAACCTGGCGTTTGCCCTCTAGTGGCCATGTTCCTGAGGGACAAAAGAAGCTGAGAAGGTGGAGAATGGATCTGGCAACAAATGGAAAATGACCAGAGCAGGATATTAGGGTGGCAACTGACACCCTAGCCATCTGTTTATGTCCATACGTGTTGGTATGTGCCATATCAGGGTGAAAGATGGCTCTAGATATTGATTCTATTTTTATGTCTTAACATCAGGCTAGGCCCATTAACCTAAATCCTGTGAGACCAAATTCAAAGTTTTGCATACTCAGTTGCTTTAAACATAACCCAACTAAGCCTACCTTTAGTCACTTTAAGATTGCAGAGGATGGATGTTTTCCCTAGTAGTGAACCCACATCCCTTATTCCTTATTGGAGTGCTTGGATCAAGTCTCACCACTGGCTCCTGATTCCAGTTTCCTGCTAATTCAGATCCTGGGAGGCATTGGTGATGGATCAAGTAGTTGGGAACCTGCCACCCATGTAGGAGATATAGGCTGAATTCCTAGTCCCAGATTTTGTCCTGCTACAGCCTTGGCCATTGTGGGTATTTGGGGAGTGAACTAGCAGTCAGGAGTAAATCAGCAGATGGAAGATCTGTCTGGCTGTCTCTTAAGTAAATTAATCAAGAAGTAAGTAAATAAAAGCTTCCTGCTTTGTATACCATGCACAATTATATCCAACATCTACCAGCCGTAGATAACATGAACCCTGGGGGTATAAAAGACTCCAGACCCACGTTGCTCCCTAGAATTGTCTGACCCAGATGCTCTCCAAGATTCCCTTGCCACTTCTTTTTCAGTGACCACCTCCTGTTATTTCTAGTTGGTCTTCTGTTGTGGACTTCCCCTCAGCCTTGTCAAAGTGCCAATCAACACAGCTCCTTATATGCTACTGCCACCTTGTGGTCATGTGTTACTCCTTGGTCAGGACCTAAACCCTTTAAGTCAACGCAATATGTGCACCATGGAATTAATTCATTTAATGTAAGTAAGTAGCTGGTATTCACAAAAAGTTTTATAGATTATTCCATTTAGTTTTTAAAACAATCTTGTAGACTAAATTCTATTATTCCCACTCAGAACTTAAATGGCTGGTCAAACATCTGAAAGCCAAAGTGAAACCAGGGTTCAAAGTCATGCATGCCTCTGACTTCAAAGCTTAACCTTTCCTCTACACTGTATAAGAGTACTTCAAAAAGTTTGTGAAAGAGAAATGGAATTTTTTGGGGGGGGGGGAGGCCAGCACCATGGCTTACTTGGTTAATCCTCTGCCTGCGGTGCCAGCATCCCATATGGGTGCCTGGTTCTAGTCCTGGTTGCCCCTCTTCCAGTCCAGCTCTCTGCTGTGGCCCAGGAAGGCAGTGGAGGATGGCCCAAGTGCTTGGGCCATGCACCCACATGGAGACCAGGAAGAAGCACCTGGCTTCTGGCTTTGGATCGGCGCAGCGCCAGCTGTAGCAGCCATTTGGGGAGTGAACCAACGGAAGGAAGACCTTTCTCTCTGTCTCTCTCTCTCTCACTGGCTACAACCCTACCTGTCAAATAAAAAAAAATAGAAGATACTTTTTTTGGTGCAAAAAATTTGAAATTCTTGCATATTTTTTTCGTAATTTGCATTTCCGTGAACTTTTTGGAGACAATACACAAGACTCTTCTCCAATCCTCTGGTCTCTTTCATTTCCCCTGTTCCTAACACTGCTGTTGGGGGCACAGTGCTTATCACATTCTGCTTTTTGTTTAGGGGGAACAATAAGATGATATCCTTAGAGGTTCATCTGACGCTCAAAGGTTGATTGCAAAATCAGCCTAAAGACTTTTTGGATTTAGCCAAGTAATATTAGCTTTTTAACTTTTAAAAAATATTTATTTATTTAAAAGGATGAGCATCGGTGAGAGAGAGAGAGTGAGAGAGAGAGAGAAATCCTCCATCAGATGGTTCATTCTCTAAGTGCCCACAACAGGCAACAGGTAGGGTTGGGCCATGCCAAAGCCAGGAGCCAGGAATTCTATTATCCTGGTTTCCCACAAGGGTAGCAGGGTCCAAGCACTTTGGGCAATCATCTACTGCCTTCCCAGGTGCATTAGCAGACAAATAACACTAGACAAATAACTCTGCGGTCCTAGATTACAACAGAGAACACCTGATAGAAGTAAAATACTTTCTGCAGAGACGTTCAGTCATCAAAGACCTCCCTGAATTCCCACTTACTGAATGGCTTCTAGATGTTCAATCTAAATTCACCATCCAAAGTTATAAAACATATGAGGAACAAGGTTTTAATGAGCAAGGACCAGTAAAAGCAATAAAAGCCACATTTTATACTTAAGGGTCTTGGTTATCCAAATGATTTGGATATAGAATTACACACACAATTGTTATATAGAAAATAATGATTTTAAGAATTATCAAGTCATTTTTTTTGTTGTTGTTGAGCATGGTGTTCCAATTCTTGATTTGTTGCAGTCGGCATGAGGAAAAGATTTTGTCATTTGCTCTTTCGGTGAATAATTGGAATTTGCCTTTTTAACACCACAAGTGGGGAGTGAAACTAAAAAAAAAAAAACGAAACAAAAAAACACCAAAAAACCCGTTCTTAAAGCAAATAGAAGTCTTGTTTAAAACTGGAAATTAAAATAGTAACCCACAGACATAATCAGAATTTGAGAAAAAAAATAGAGCCTTTAACCTGGTTTCATGGTTTGTCCTTATTTCTTCTGTTTGTAAAATGAAAAATTTAAACCAGACCATTAGGGAAAAAGAAAATGCTTTTTCACTTCTCTCACTTGTGTGTTTTCTTTGGCAGGCCTGAAAAAGCAAGGATTGTTACTTCTGAGAACTCTTTTTCATGGTGGTAAGTTGCTAGGTTTCCAACTAAAAACAGATAAACCTGAATCTAGCAAGCTAATACAGAATGAGCTCAGAAATACATGTTAAATAAAAAACAAACAAACAAACAAAAAAACCCAACAAACCTGACCATGCAAAACAGTGTGTAAATGTTCCATTTGTTTAAAAAAAGTGTCATCTTGTACTTATTTGTTGTATACAAATGGACTGTTCTTGCAGGAATATGCAAAAAACTCGTAATAGTATTTGGGGAGAAGTTGTAACTGAATTTGGATATCTGAGGATGGAGGAAAACATCATTTAAACCTTATATTGGTTTATTTTGTTGTTTCTGTTAGAACCTGGTAATGAAAAAGTAGAAAATTTCCTCAATAACAGACACTACCCTCAATGTTTGGTTTTGCTTTGTTTATCATATATTGTTTATCATATATTTCGTATTTGATCTGAAATATATATTTCATATATGATATCATATATTGATACCAGATCAATATCGTATCTAGCTTGTTGAGTGTATTGCACAACTGAACTATGTCTGCTTCGGTGGAATCCTGCTTCCACAGTTTTTTAGCTCAATGAGTTTGGGCAAATCTCTACGCCTCAGTTTCTTCTATTTAATGGTCAAAATAATGAAGCTATGTTGAGAATTAAATAAGCTCATCCATGTAAGGTGCTTTATATAGCATCTGACACATGGAATGGGTTAAATGTGAGTGATATTGAGACTTCACTCTTGCTGTTCATTTTCTAGTTCTTGTATTTCAAACACAAGCATGAGTCTGTGCTTGAAACCTCAAAACAGTCACTGAAGAGAAGAGAAAGTGTTAAGATAGTATCGGACATGACTATTTGACAACTGTCACATATTCATATTTAAAGGTTTTGTCAGGCATATTTTGAAGATTATGACAAAACCATGCTGAAATATCAGAATGGGATCAATTTTGTTGCCTTATGGAAGTGTTTGGCCTTCAAGCTATATGCCATCTGATGAACACCTGCACAGACAAATTATATTTCACAGTTTGTCAAATATTTTACATGAGTATTAGGAAGTGCATCTTGTGGACAAGAAAATAAAATATGTACTTTGTTTATGAAATCATATTGTTATTCCATCTGAAATTATAAGTGAATGAAATCCTTCAATAATAACAGCTGAGAGAAGGTTCAGTTTCCAGAGAATTCCAATTTACTCTTTTACAATGAAAAATATGATTAATTATCAAACAGACCAACACACCAGATTTCATAGATGACCATAATTTCTTCCCGGAAGTCTAATATTTGCAGCCAAATTCTAAGAAAATGTTCAGCTTGCAAAGTACAGCTTCTGAAGCCAGAAAACTGGGTGATTTTTAGGTTTATTTCCTTAGAAATATACATTGCCTCTCTGAGCATTCATGACAGCTAGAGATCAAATTTAATTCTGCAAATGTAGCTAAATTTTTAAAATATTTATTTTATTTGAAAGGCAAAGACACAGAGAACGAGGGAGAGAGAGAGAGAGGGAGAGGGAGAGAGAGGGAGAGAGGGAGAGAGAGAGGGAGAGAAAGAGAGAGAGAGGGAGAGAGGGAGAGAGAGAGAAATCTTCCATCCACTGAGTTCATTCCCCAAATGGCTGCAATGGCAGAGACTATGGCATGTTGAAGCCATGAGCCCAGAAATCCATCCAGGTCTCCCACATGGGAAGCAGGGACCCACACACTTGGGGGCATCTTCTGCTGTTTTCCCAGGATCTTTAATAGGTAGCTGGATTGGAAGCTGAACATCTGGAACTTGAACTGGGTTCCAATATGGGATGCCAGTGTTGCAAACAGTGGCTTAATCCACTGCACCACAACAGCAGCCCCAAATATAATTAATTTGTTGTTGTTCTGCCATTTGGCTTTAATTAAAAATTGCTTCTTTTACATGTGTTTATGATATTTACATTGCCTCGGGTTAGAAATCCTGATGCGCTTCCTATCATTAACCAAACTATCTGTATCGATGTTTTAATAATTTACTCATTTTGTAGATGCTGTACTACTTTACCATTGCTGCACAATCTCAGTGGCTGAAAACACAAATTTAACTAATAGGTGCTGTGCTGCAGGAATAAAGCCATGAGTTAGCAGGATCTTCAGCTCAGGGTTTCACCAGCTTGAGGACAAGACATCTGATGGAGCTACAACCTCATCTGAGGCTCAGGGAGATCCTCTTTCAAGTTCACTGGTTGTGAACTTGATTCTCTTTCGAGCTCCTTCGGTTGCAGAGCTGAGTCCCTCAGCTCTTCAAGGCCTGCTGTTCCTTGCCACAAGATGCAATTCTCTCCACAAGATGTAATTTGCTTCTTTGAGACACGAGGAATGCATTTGTTGCAGCCTGAAATCTCTCTCTCCCATCCATGGTAAGAGAGTCTATCTTGCGTGGTCTAAACCAGGGACCTTACACCCAGATGGGGGCTACCCACACTCAAAGGGAGGAGGCCATACAGGGGCCCTTCTGCAATCCTGCTTGCTATTTACAGCTTATTAGGAGAGTGAGAAGTCAGGAGGAGGTATTTCACTTGAGCTTTGGATGCACTGAAGCAAAGTATTAACCTCAATTCAGGTGCGTCCAGCTGCTGCTGATCCCAAGTTTTTCCTCCTGGTGGTAGCATCATGGCCTCACCATGGTGGTAAAATTGTATTTGCAGAATCCTGTTGATCAGTTTAAATAAGGGATAAGATAATGATGAGGGGACCCAGGATTATGCTGCTATGGTGGGGAGGGGAGAGGAATAGCTGATTGTCTACATGAATTATTTTTTTAAACAGGATTCAGATTAATAAATTGGTGCAATTGTAAGTGAATTATACTAAGAATCATCAGTTGAGTGCCCTCATATCAGGTGCTCTCTGATATGAGGAAAACAAGGCTCCATGAGAATAATGAGTAAATATTAAGAAGTTGAAAAGTTATAGATGTCTATTTATTGCTGAATACCTTCAGCTGTTCATCTCAGAGTTAGTTTTTTTTTTTCTCTAATCTAGTTCCTTTTGGGTACAAAGGGTACACAAAGGGTACATTCTTGAAATTCTTTTTTTTTTTTTTTTTTTTTAGTGACAGGCAGAGTGGACAGTGAGAGAGAGAGACAGAGAGAAAGGTCTTCCTTTTGCCATTGGTTCACCCTCCAATGCTCCAATGGCTGCCGCGGCCGGCACGCTGCGGCTGGCACACCGCGCTGATCCGATGGCAGGAGCCAGGTACCCATCCTGGTCTCCCATGGGGTGCAGGGCCCAAGCACTTGGGCCATCCTCCACTGCACTCCCGAACCACAGCAGAGAGCTGGCCTGGAAGAGGGGCAACCGGGACAGAATCCGGCGCCCCGACCGGGACTAGAACCCAGTGTGCCGGTGCCGCAAGGTGGAGGATTAGCCTATTGAGCCGCGGCGCCGACCACATTCTTGAAATTCTACGTGGTTGTTGAAACTAGAAGCCCCAGAAGTTCTCATTCAGTTTCTCCACTAGCATTTAGTGAGGCCCTACTGTGTGTCTAGCACTATCTAACCTCAGAGTATCTGATGTTGGACAAGATAGACATGGATTCCACCTTCCAGAATAAAAGATAGAACCTGAGATATAAATCCTTATGGTATTAAATAAAAATATACTTGTGTTATTAATGTTATCAAAAGCAATTAGAAGTATTAGTAATGCCATACTATATTCAATATAATAAATATGCTTGGATTTCTGATATAGCCACAGTGGACCTAAATACATTTTTCCTGACTATAATAGATATGACATATTTTCCCCCAGTTATTATAAAGAAAGTAGTCACAGACTGTGTAAGTGTGTGTTTTGGTATGAGAAACCATAACTGAACCGGTGAAAATTTAGCACTAACCATCAGAGAATTGAAAACAGGTAAACTTTGAATTATAAACTTGAATTGTTATTATGCAATGCATACTTTGGGTGGAGTAAGATTATACAGCTGCTATTGCATGTGTTCAGGGCATGAACAGAAAGGGCTGGTAAATATACAAGCAAATAGGTAGATAAATAACAAGGAAGAGTAAAAGCAGGAGAGAGGAGATTGAGGGGAAGAGATAGAGATAATTTAGCTTCAAATAATTTATTCAGAATATTGCAAGCAGAAAATATAGGGGCAAAACCCAAATTTTATTATCTATGTATGTTTATCAAATGTTTTCAGTGATGTAGAGCTTCTCAAAACCTTAACACAGTTGGCTCATTTGGATAGAAGATTTTTTGAAGCGAAATGATGCATAATCTTTCTGCAGTACAGAAATAATATTAAAAGTAAACTTAGGGCCGGCACCACGGCTCACTAGGCTAATCCTCCGCCTTGTGGCGCCAGCACACCGGGTTCTAGTCCCGGTCGGGGCACCGGATTCTGTCCCGGTTGCCCCTCTTCCAGGCCAGCTCTCCGCTGTGGCCAGGGAGTGCAGTGGAGGATGGCCCAAGTGCTTGGGCCCTGCACCCCATGGGAGACCAGGATGGGTACCTGGCTCCTGCCATCGGATCAGCGCGGTGCGCTGGCCGCAGCACGCCGGCCGCGGCAGCCATTGGAAGGTGAACCAATGGCAAAAGGAAGACCTTTTTCTCTGTCTCTCTCTCTCACTGTCCACTCCTGCTGTCAAAAAAAGAGAAACAGGTAGGTAAACTTAGTTTCCCCTATGATTTACAGAGGGACAACTATTGCCACCTAATGGTGAAAATGCACATTGCAATAGATTTTTCACATGCCTGCAACTTTTACAGCAGAGTGTCTTATATAAAATGTATCAATTTAATATCCCAATGATATGAAAATAAAATCTGACAGTTATAAATATGGAAACATTAATTAATATAATTGGTGCACTAGTATACAATAAAAAAACTTTCTTTTTTAAAAAAAGATTTATTTATTTATTTGAAAGTCAGAGTTGCACAAAGAGAGGAAAGGCAGAGAGAGAGAGAGAGAGAGAGAGGTCTTCCATCTGCTGCTTTACTGCCCAGATG